GTCAGTATCGGGTTCAGTGACGGCGGGGAGGGCTTTTTCCTTCCCTTTGATTGAGACCTTGCTCATCTCCGTGCATTTCGGAGACTGGGCAAGGCCAGGTACTTGTTCGAGAGCCCTCGGGTGGACTCTCGTGTTGTCCGACTTGGCGTTGGGACGCTTTTTGCGAACTGGAGGCATGGTGAAAATGCCAGTGACTCGATCACAATTATTTGATAGAACGCGACAAGCGCCAGAGGGAGGGAGAGGGGGAAAAGGTGAAGATTCGAAAATTCGAATTTCAAAAAAATTGTCTTTGATATTGTGTCATAGCTAGATAGCTGCATACGCAATTAAAATCTAATGCAAAAAAAAAAAACATCAGCTTTATTGACCTCAAGAAAGGCATGATCTGTTCCTTTCCCTCAGCATCATTTCGACCGCCTTTGTCATCTGGAATTGCTCTGTCCAACCATGATTTAGGATTTACTGTGTTAACCTTTTGATATCTCCAGGATTACTTAGCATGGCTTCGTAGGACTGATCTTTCGCTTGTCGCCAGATCTCTCCTCTTCCATTTGACCATCGAGGGCAGGACATAATCATGTGCTTGGGGTTCTGCGATTGGTAGCTACATGGACAGCCTGGACTGTAGACTCCGGGTATTTTTCTTCTGTATAAATACGAGTCGAAGCCCATGTGCTCACTTCGTATTTGAATCGCTAGACTGCTTTGGGCCCATGTCAGGAGTGGATTATTATTATTATTACTGTGCGGATGCGACATCGGGCGTTGATTAATGTACACATTGAGGGCTCGGCATGCCTTGTCAGGGAGTGGCGAGGCTTCCAGGGCAGTGAGCACCGGCGTCTATGTCTAGTACTAAGTAGGCAGCAGGGGCCCAAGTTTCGGCCTGGCCTCCCATTGGACGTTAAACAGTTAACAAGTAAACAAACCCTCGACAAGCATCCGCCCCTACGGCCATCGTACACAAGCTCCAGTCTGTCTACAGCGCTTTATTGCTCCAAGATAGCGTAGCAGGGCTTATCGGCCGAGAAGAATCCGCGAATGGCCTTCGTTTTTCTCGATAAAGAGATGTGGTAATCAAGGGCAGGGCCTATCCAGGTGTACGGTGCAATCAAGAATTGTAAAGAGCTGTACCGTTGAATGAGAGCCGTGAAGCCTGTGACCGGTCTTACGAAAAGCTAACATCATGCTAAGGGCGTAACTCGACGACTACGCTAGTCGGACCTTTTCATCTGCCCACCGCTGCCAGCATGAGCATGTAACAAGTAGTGGATCTAGTGCGGTCTTTATCAGCCTGTTGCAACTGGTGCATGGCCAAATATCACACAATGGCACTGCTCCGACCGCGCGACACGGTCCCCTCAGCCTTTGGATGCATCCTGGGATGACAGGCATGAGAACCCTAGTCGATCTTTTTTTTTTTTTTTTGCATCAGATTTTAATTGCGTATGCAGCTATCTAGCTATGACACAATATCAGAGAAAAGTACAGAAAAGATGACTCAGTTTATAATAGGAGCACTCATGCCTCAGATTTCATTTGCAAGTACCACTGCGAAGTTATGGTGGCTTTTTCTTCACCCCAAGTCAACCCTCATCCGTGAATACCCACCCAGGGGAACGTCTCAAAAACCCTGAGTTATCCAGACATGCCTCCGTCATCCATCAACTTTTCTCCGCGCGAAATGTAATCTGAGATGTCTCCTTCCCAAGTGGAGTAGGTGCCCAGGCTACTCAAACCATACCAGAGAACACCACCAGGAGGCGGACCACAACACCTTCCATCGTTGGCTTGTGTTTATAGTGTCAGCTGCACTCTCGCAAGCGAAGTCTTGGCGCGCACAAAGCTCAATTCATAAAACTCTTTCCAAAATTCGAAATTTCACGCCCGTCGAGAATGTATCCCTCTTCTGCATCATCTTGTAAACTTGTCCTGATCCCTCTCACGTCCGTCCCAAAGAACTATCTCCCAAAATTGTGCTCCACGCTTTGCTTCCTCCGTCGGGTGTAAATATCGGCGTGGGCGTGTATTTGGTGACCGGCTGAGGCCAGAGAAAGTCGACGAGAGGTGTGGTCATTGAAACGAGGATGTACTAGGTCGTACTTGTAGACTTGATGAAGCTTAGTTGAGAATCGGACTCTTTGGGAGTGAAAGATTGACATGGTGGAGTAATTTGAATTTTTGCCTCGTGGGCGAACTTCTTTGATATTGCGAAATTTGACTGAACTTGGCTCTGGGAGAATATTTCACTCCCAGGTTCGTAGAGAGCACCACTGACAGGTGTTCAGTCTTGCCCTCCACCCTAGTCGATCATTCGAACGGCTGCGCTCGAGGGATAAGATACCCATAGCCATGGTAATATTTGAGACTCGAATGGAAAAAAGCAAGTGAGGGCAAGATTGAACACCGACTTGCGTTGTCTTCTACGAACCTGTGAGTGAAGTATTTTCCAATAGACAAGTTCGGTCAAATTTCGCAATACCGAACAAGTTGGCCCACGAGGCAATGATCCAAAAGACTTTATGTCATTTTTTACTCCCAAAGAGATCGACTCTTGCCTAAGTCTCATCAAGTCTACGAGTACGATCTAGTACATCTTCATCCAATGGCCAGACCTCTCGTCAACTTACTCTGGCCTCAGCTCGTCACCAAATACACGCCCACGGCGAAATTTATACCCGCAGGAGGAAGCAAAGCGTGACGCACAAATCTGGGAGATAGATCTTTGAGATCGACGTGAGAGGATTGAGGACAAGTCCACAAGATGATGCAGAGGATGGGTACAGTCTCGACGGGCATGGAATTTTGAACTTTGGCAAGGAGATTTTACAAATTGAGCTTTGTGCGTGTCAAAACTTTGCTTGCAGGAGTGCAGCTGACACTATAAACACAAGTCAACGATAGAAGGTGCGGTGGTACATCGTGTTGGCTAGTCTTCCAAGTAGAGTCTGGATAGATTGGACATATATCCCTCTCGAGACAGCAGATCGCAGGTTCTAATCCGGCAAAACACAACCACTTTTCTCGCGGCGCTTGTAGGCTTGGACAATCAAAGGGTTTGAATTTCCCTTTAGAGGGTACTCACGGAGGAAGGTCGACTGTTTTTGTAAGCGAGCATACCTCGTAGTGGTATTTGCGAATGAAATCCAGAGTATGAGTATCTCTAACGTCAAAAGAGGCATACTACATGCATATACAGCACCGGTTATGTGTCATGTGTCATAGCTAGATAGCTGCACACACATTAAATGATTTAAAAAAAATGAAGAAAGCAATGGCTGGCTGTCGGCTCGAGCTCGTTTCCGAGGTTTTCAATGAAAAGGCACGGCGGTTTCGAGAAATCGATACCAGCAAACGTCTGCCACACCCTATTTGATTGCAGACAAGAAACCGGGCCCAACCTTGAGACTGCCATGTTTTGAAAACTTCCCTCATACCGTTTTTGCTTGTTCGTTGACTGATTGGCCAGTGCCGGGTAAGATAATTTTTTTCTTTAATTCATATTGTATTTAGCTATGGGTAAGATAATTGTACATGTGCACTAGCGCCAGAAACTGCCAAATCCCTCCTTTCAAGACCCAAAGGAGCATCGCGAGAATTTTAATCGTCGTAAACATTAGTGTATTTCATAGTTTTGCTCATTCACATCGCCCTGCGCGATCCTCGTCACATCTTTCCTCCTCGCCTATTCCATCTCGTCGCTTGCGGGGTACATCTTCTTCAGACGGATCATCGCTGAAAACCCCACTGACTTGTCCAGTATAAGTCAAGCACTCAGTTCCATATCCATTAGGCTGAGGCGGCTGGGTAGGGAAGCAGTAGCCAATAATATCTACCCCGCCGCTTACCTGGCGTGTCTCATTTCTGTTAAAATATCAATTTTCTACCCAAAGACTCATGAATTCAGTTGCTTACGAAAAAAGATCAAGATATGTCTCATTTATGTCTAAATAATCGTCTTCATACAAGAAGGTGACGTTTTTGTCTCTGCAAGTCTGGAGACTGCCCATCACGTTACCACTGGCCGAACAAATTATTGTCGACGAATTCGCGCGGTCATCGTTAAGTTTGAAATGGATCGAGGCTGGGACAGGATTGCCAGCTGCTGGGGCAAACGTTGTGAAATCTAAGACGGAAAAACTTTGAGGTGCCCCAGATGAAAATGCTATCGTTCTAGCTGATACCATAATGACCATCGATAAGAATAGGCAAAATGCTCGACCTGACATCTGATGGTTGGTCATGAGGTTTGTGGCGGGCGATATCGGTCAGGAAAGCAATCGCTGTGAGAGTTGAGATGACCACTGAATAGGTTTCCTTTGATGTAGTAGTGATAATATTGGGACAATGATATATCATCGAGCGAGGAGATTAGATTTATCTAGATTTACCTGGTCCACAAACATTACTATTCTACAGGCATGACGGAAGGGATCACCGGCAACTTGATTCCCAGGCACTGGGTCCGACATAAAGTGGCCCATTCCGAATTCTTAGTTGTCAACCGACCCATATGTCATGCTGATTGGCGGCGCTTGTGCGGGCGGGGACATGACGCGAGACATGGAAATGCATGGGAGACAAAGGCTATCCAGCTCTTCGCTGGCGCCAGTTCGGATTTCTACGAGGAAGAAGTACATGTTGTGGGGCCAATATAAGATCATTGGTTCCTCTCGGCTCACAATGAGGTAACAAAACTAGTAACGGAATGCAGTTCACAATATTTATAATTCACTTTTGATTGCTATCTCTTGCAGTGGAATGGTTTTTGCTATGGACTTGCGCACGGAGGGGGCTGGGTGCTGTATTTGGATAACACGGTAGTACGCAATTTCTCCATTCCTACCGTCACCTTTAACATTACTTCCGTCAGCCAACAATTACAATGTCCGCAGACTGTCATCATCCGGCGCTGGGCAATGCCTGTGACTTCAGCTTCCTGCACCTTTTCCGGCCCAACGTCTCACTCCGCACGGCTTCTGCCAATAGAGAGACTCTCAGCGCTCACGTTGAAATATGTCGCTTCTACCTAGAGGTCTAGATCCATCGTTGAGTACCATAGCCTCTCGATGACGTCTGCGCATATTTTCATCAGCAGAGTTTTGATAACGCCGTCGTAGCAGATCGGATGATTGCTCAGAATAATTATCTGCATTCGTACTTTCGTCCGATGTTGAAATATTCGTGCTCAATTCATCCGAGGTCTCAGAGACCAACTTAGATTTGAGAAGTAGTCTCCGTCCGGTGAAGTCTCGAGATATTGGTTTGACTAAGCCACTTAGCTTTTGATCGCTACTTCGGAGAAGGGTCATGAAATTGGTGAGTCTCTCCGCCTCAGTGGCACCCCAAGGTTCTTTGGCCAGCCAGCACTCGATAAACCGATGTCTAAGCAAACGATTAGGCCCATATTTTTCGACCATTTGGAGCAAGAATCCGAGGGTAATCTTCTCGACAACATCACGAAAATGCCAATTATCCCAGTCTGGATCAAATTCATTGTGCTCGTAGTCGTTTACGCAGTTTTCTAGACACTTAACCAGGGCTGTGTAACCCCTAGGGTTGTGAAGAAATCCAAGCGCATCTAAGAGTTAGGTTAGATTTTGCTCATCCCAGTATATGAAATTAAACTAACGGTTGTTAATCATCATTTTTAGGGCTCTAATCCCCTTTTCTCGAGGTTCATACTCTGGTTGAGTGAGGCAGTGGAGGACAGTCGTCAAGGAGGCTTCATCGTGTAAGGCGCGCTCGCAAATGATAGTGTTAGTAGTATCTCGTATGACCCAGCTAGGGCTATCAACGAGTTTTTCGAGTGTGCTTAATTTCAACGAATCTTCAACTTCTTGTGTGATATACTGCGGTTTGTTTTCAGAGGGGGGAATGATGAAACTATCGCGGTATGCTGCAAGCGTTTGTCGCATTGTAAAGTAGATTGTGCATGTCACAAGCACACCAAGCCCAACAATTGTAATTTCAGAGCGAGTGTGCGATTGCACAGCCATATTATCAGGTCGCTACATTCGTATTGACAAATTTTCATGAATAGGGATCGGTGTAATCGAGGAACTTTGTGCGGGGCATACGCCGCATTTTAACAAGGTGGCGCCTAACTAGAAATCGCGCTAAGTTCAACGCAAAATTTCTACAATTATCAACATCAGAATTCCAACATCATGCCACCCTCACAACTCAGGAGATTAAAAGCCTCATTGCGCGAACAGGGCGTAATAGGACCACAGAAGTCTCGAAAACAGGCGAAGAAGAATCAATCAAATGGAACCGACAAAAAAATATCCCGGGGCGACGCCCTTACAGAAATTAGAGAACAATTTAATCCATTTGAATTTAGAGCAACTTCTAGAAATCCCAAATTCGAGGTTACCTCATCTCAAGCTACCCAAGGAAAAATGAGTAGGCCGGGTCTTATCAAAAGTCAAGAGGAGAAAATGGTCCTGCTAAAATCCCTTGGAGTTACTTAATATTTTCTGACCCCATTAACAGCGTCGAGAAGCCTACGTGGCTGAAAAGCAACGTCGAAAGAAAGTGGGTGGGATCGTAGACAAGCGTTTTGGGGAAAGCGATCCGACAATGGCGCCAGAAGAGAAAATGTTAGAGCGCTTTACTAGAGAGAAGCTCACGCGACACCAGAAAAGTTCAGTTTTTGACCTAGAAGATAACGACCTTTCTAATGGGCTCACCCACATGGGCAAGTCATTGTCATTAGATGGGCCCACCATAATGGATGATTTTACTGAAGGTGACTTGCAGCTCTCAGAGAATGAAAACAACTCTACCGAAAAAGATTGGCCTTTGCTCAAACGAGACAGATTAGATGATCCAGATGATAATGAGGATCCTCTGCCCGAACGAAAAAAGTCAAAGCAGGAGGTAATGAAAGAGGTAATAGCCAAATCAAAACTTTACAAATATGAACGCCAAGCCGCAAAAGAAGACGATGAGGATTTACGAGAAGAATTAGACAAAGAAGTTGATGATATTCATAATATTCTTCGAGGGATTCCCACAAAGATTTCTAACCCGACAAGCGTTGATGTCAATATTAATCCACAAAGGGCAGCTCTCATAGCCGGTAATGACAAAGCAAGACTTGAAAAGGACTACGATTTACGCCTGAAGCAGTTGGCCCTTGACAAAAGATCGCAGCCAACTGAAAAATCTAAGACTGAAGATGAAATAGCAAAGGAACAGGCAAGAAAGTTGCACGATTTAGAAAATAATCGGCTTCAGCGAATGCAAGGCTCTATATCCAACCATGACGCTGAAATCGAAAACTTAGATGCTAGCAATGGTGCTAATGATATCAGCGAAGATTATGGCTTTGGTACTGGAATTAAAGTTCGACAATTAGATCGTGAACTGGGGGTAGAAGATGAAGACGATTTTCTCATAGAAGATGATCTTGTAGCTAGTTTTTCTGAAATGGAAGACTCAGAGGTAAATAGTTCTGATCTCGAGGGTGAGCTCAGCGACGACGACAATAATAATGATCAAAGTGAGGGGTCTTTTCCTGGTGAACCTGCAGAAGCCAGCCAGAGAGAATCAGCTCAGGTATCTGGGAAAGACCTTTCAGTAGAGGAAAACCCCCCGATCATCACTAACGACGATAATACTGATCTTGCATTCCAATATGTATGCCCAAAATCGCACGAAGAGTTTCTTGAAGTCTTAAAAAATGTCAACATAATCGATCTCCCGACTGTTGTACAAAGAATTAGGATCCTTTATCACCCTAAGCTTAGGAGTGAGAATAAAGCAAAACTAGGTAAATTCTCAGATGTCCTTGTTGAACATCTAATCTACTTAGCAAACCAGAAACAAAATCCACCGCCTTTTGCTACTGTAGAATCTCTGATCCGTCATATACACTCACTCGCCAAAACCTTTCCGGTAGAAATTTCAAATTCTTTCCGACATCACCTCCGAGAATTAGGCTCCCTCCGAGCACTAGCGCCGACACCAGGCGATTTAGTACTTCTTACAGCTATTGGTACTATATTCCCAACTTCAGATCATTTCCACCAGGTTGTTACGCCGGCAATTTTAAGTATCGCTCGATACCTTGGCCTAAAAGTTCCAAAATCCCTAGGTGATTTTGCTATTGGATCATATTTGTGTACAATATGTATACAATACCAAATGCTTTCTAAGCGCTTTGTTCCTGAGGTAATGAATTTTATACAAAATACCTTATGTACGCTAGCACCTTCTAGAATAGATAAGGCTTCTGGAATATCTCCATATCATAAGCCACAATTCTCTTTGAGGCTCAAGGAAAATTTAAGATCTACTAAAAGTTTGAACTTCTACGATTGTTTTTCAGACCTGAAATCTCATGAGGAAAAAGAAGCAATGAAACTGTCACTTATTGAGGTCAACTTGAAACTTCTCGATGCAGCGGCAGACATCTGGTATGAAAAAGAGGCCTTTATTGAAGTCTTTCTGCCTGCTTTAGAAATAGTTCAACAAATAAGTGACTATCAATGCCATCTCATCTTTCCGGAGACTACCCAGGTAAGAATTACGCCCTATCTATTGAAGAAATCTAAGTTCCACAGAACTTGATTAAGAAGCTCCACCAGAAATTAGAAACCTTAACCAATAAAGCCAAGCTACAGCGCCGCCCCCTAGAATTGCATCACCACCGTCCTTTGGCCATTAAAACATCATTGCCTAAATTTGAAGAGAACTTTAATCCAGAACGTCACTACGACCCTGATAAAACTCGAACTGAGATGGCAAAACTGAAAAAAGAGCACAAGAGAGAGAAAAAGGGTGCTATTAGAGAGCTACGCAAGGATGCGAAAATTCTTGCTCATGAGAGTCTCCGTGAGAAAAAGGAGAAAGATGCGGCGTATGAGAAGAAGTACAAACGACTCATCGCTGAGATTCAAGGGGAAGAGGGAAAAGAGGCAAATGCCTATGAGCGAGAGAAGCAGTGGCGGAGAAAGGGCAAAAAGTAGAAAAATTTTGTCTGAGTATGAACAGGTTAAATCAAATAAAGATATCAGGCAGCACCATTTTTTGGCTTGAAAGTATTCTCTTGATAGCCAATGAATTGTTTATTGCCCTAATATCTATCAATTTAATGTAAATGGGGCCACTATCCTATCGCAGATCCCATCGGCGCTTCAATCAGGCTCTGCTCCTCATTCAAACGGCAACGCAGAATATGATTAGCTAGAAATAATGCTCCAGTTAAAGCACCTAACGAAAAAACACCTGTCCGTAAGCCTAGTCATCACTACGTAGGCCATTTGATATGGGTGTACTGACATTGTAAATGTTACATAGCACACGTGTGTACAGGGGGGTGGAATCAGGAGGCTCCATTTCCCGTTTGTTTTGCGATAATCTCTTCAATGATGTCAATCAACTCATTCACATCCGGTCTTTCGCTAGGCTCAACTTTGAGACATTTCCTAACCAATTCTCGTATGTTTTCACTAATGCCATTGCTATCACCCTGACTCGGCTGGTTCTTAGCCTTTGACCTCCCGGCCCCCTCGTCGGGGAATCTCCAATCACCACTTAACACGCAAATACTCAAGCTTCCACCAGTCTCGTCACTACGCATTTCAAATGGCGACTTTCCTACCAGACAGGCATACAATGTACAGCCCAAAGACCATATGTCAACTTTTGTATCAATCACACTTCCAGTCTTGACATCAAATAATTCAGGGGCTCGATACGGCATGGTAGAGTGCTCTGCGGCAATGTCTTGGAGGGCGAGAGCCTCAGATCTAGATGTAATTGATGTTGGAGAAGGAGCTAGTGATCCGAGGTCCATTAAAATGGATTGCTCACCGTCATCGTCTATCATGATATTTCCTTCGAGTTTGTCAGGGGCTTATACGGTGGAGAATGGGCTTGCGGTCCTACCTGGCTTGATGTCTCTGTGTGCATAAGCACTTATATCGCTAGGCCCAACTTGTTGCGAGTTGAGTTCCCGGTCTGTCAGTAAACCTTGATGTTCACTTTCCGAGCCAATGTCGCCTGCCTCTTCGTTTTCTCTTATCTGGTCAGATCTTACGGGAGATCCCTGGTCATTGTGTCCCGTCTGTTTTTTTGCCTTTTTCTGTTTCTTGCCATTTTTATTCCCGTTCTGGTGATCTGGTTGGTTATAATAATGTAATGCCTGGAGTGCTCTGCAAACTCCGAGAAATAGTCTCATCAGCTGCTTCTCTGGGAAGCTCGTATTGTTGACCAAATTAGAGTTAATTAAGTCCTGTAAGTTTCCCCTTCGGTAATAAGGTAGCACGATATATACTGTTTTGGCGCCAGGGTCTGATTTATCTGATGAGACACAGTGATCGATGCTCTGGATTATATTGGGATGCGGTGAAAATAGTGCATATGCTTTTACCTCTCGCAAGGCTAAAGAGACGGATTCCTGGCCAAAGGGACATCGAATCTTTTTCAGTGCATACAGAGCTTCGTTACTGGTATCTTGGACTAAGTAGACGTAAGAAAATCCACCCTGGAAATAGATCGTCAGCGCATGCTATATATCCAATTTGATTCTATAGAACTCCTGTACCTCTCCCAGTAATCGCGCTATCTTGAAGCTCCGATTATTAATCTTAAGGGTCGGAGTTCCGGGGAAGCAGCCCATGCAATTTGTTAAGGTATATACAATATCCGTAATGTATTGCGCCATGGCGAATGCAATCCCCATAGAAGTGCTAAGTCTGAAGGAGTAGGGGGTGAGCCAGATACAGGCCGTTCTAGATCATTGAATTTTATAGCTTCCAGAAGTTCAATCAGTTGCGGACGTTGTTAAAGATAAGCGCCTACAAAAGGCCGTGGTGGTTTGTTCGGTTTCCACTCGGCACGTTGCTGTCACCGATAACAACCTACGTTGAGGCCTATGATTGGTTCACTTACCTCTCCCTGCTCAAACGACCTTGCTTAGCTGTTCAAGTGGATGGAGCTCGCACCGATCGGATCCACTTCAAACTTTTCCGCTATTGGTTGCCGCATAATTTTAGTACCCCAAGGCTGATAGGCATTGCGACTACCCTTGCTCTTTCGTGTTTGCCATCTGCAACCAAGCTGCAGCCTCGTGAAAAATATAAATCCGATATCTAGCTCACCGTCTTCTTGTCACCCAATCTCTATTACAGGGGGAGAAGCAGCGTACGCGCGGACAAGAATGGCGCTCCCAGATTGTGCGGGGTCGGCATGGGCCACAGTTCCGAGCGGCAGCAACCTGCCCGAGACGACTTTTTCTTCCCCTCGCCATCCTCACTAGCTCACTCCAAGCTGGGTGTAAAAAGACAAAATGACCGTCCGCAATCACAAGTTTACCCCGGAGGTGTTGCTCTCTGCCCCGCGTCGATCGGTGGCGAGTCCCAATAAAGATGGCACTTTATCCCTCTTCATGGTGTCAACATATGTCTTTCAGACTCACACAAAGTCGGTGGAGATTCGGCTCTTGAATTTAGAGACCCACGCTTTACGAGTTCTCAGTAAAGATGTCATGGCGTCAGAGGCAGTCTGGCTCGGAGACAAAAACTTTGTACTGTTCCTAAGGGGCGAAGAGAAGGGAAACACCAGTCTTTACTTGGTCGATGCCAACAGACTTGATGATGGGTAGGCACAACAATGCTTTGGTCGGGAGAAATAACTGAATCACTTAGACCCCGATTGCTTTCAACCTTCAATGGGTCCCTTTCCAATCTCAAGACTACGAAGATCAGTTCCGATACCTATGCCATTGCTCTGACGGGTCCTGCCAACCCCGCCGGCGAGCTTCATAACCCTGAGACAGCGAAGAAGCCCCTCTCTAGTGCACGAGTATACAACAATCTATTTGTGAGACATTGGGATGAATATGTGTCAGAGAACAAAAACGCTATATGGTACACAACCTTAAAGAAAGTCCATGGAGCATACCGGACACCCATTTCTCCCTTAAAAAATGCCTTGAATGGAAGTCTCGTGCCATTAGAATCACCTGCACCATTCTGCGGCGCTGCTAACTATGATATTTGTGAGAACGGCATGGTATTTGTTGCTAGGGATCCTAAGCTCGATCCTTCCAACCATACCAAGACGGACCTCTATTACGTTCCCTTCAAAACATTTGAGGAAGAGCGTGCCCCTGCTCCACTCATCGTACCGACAGGGGGTTTTCAAGGCTATTCCAGTACTCCCGTCTTCTCTCCCGATGGTAAATCGATCGCGTTTACCCGAATGAAGAGCAATGTCTATGAAAGTGATAAACCACGTATCTTCCTGCTACCTAGCATCTGGGATTTGACTAATGTTCAGGAGTTTTATGAAACAGAAGATGGGGAGGGTGGCTGGGATCTAAGACCTGACAGCATAACTTGGAGTCTAAATGGTAATGAACTCTATGTGACGGCAGAGGAGAATGGCAGGGGAAAACTATTCACACTGCCATCTTCTCCTCACCTTGCCACGAATCTCCCGTTGTCAATCGTGAATGATGGTACTGTTATTGATGTGAAACCCCTACCCAACACTAACCTTCTTGTGACCAGTAGTTCACTCATAGAGAGTAGCACTTACTTTATCCTCGACCCGAAAGCCCCTTCTAAACCTCGCATTATTTCATCAGTATCTAATGGTGGAGAGAAATTTGGACTATTTAAACGCCAGATTGAGGAAATCTGGTTCAAGGGAGCTGAAGATTACGATGTCCATGCATGGGTCATAAAACCGTCAAATTTTGATAATTCAAAGAAATATCCTCTGGCTTACCTTATTCACGGTGGAGTATGGTTCCCGCACTTTCGGAGCCGTTTTAAACTGACACGCACAAGCCTCAAGGAGCCTGGAATGACAACTGGTCAACACGCTGGAATCCAGCTATCTTTGCTGAGCAAGGCTATGTCGTAGTGACGCCGAATCCAACGGGTAGCACGGGATATGGCATGAAGCTGCAGAATGGTATCAAAGACAACTGGGGGGGTCGCCCGTACGTTGACCTTATGAAAGGATTCGAATATATTGAGAAGTCTATGCCGTTTGTCGATACGTCACGCTCAGTTGCTCTAGGTGCTTCATACGGCGGCTATATGGTCAATTGGATCCAGGGTCATGACTTTGGCCGCAAATTCAAGGCACTGGTAACTCATGACGGGGTCTTGAGCACCCTCAATCAAATTGCGTCAGATGAGTTGTTTTTCCCCTACCATGACTTTGGCGGAAAGCTTTGGGAGAATCGGCAGAATTACGAAAAATGGGATCCTGCCCGCTTCCTCCAGCACTGGGCCACGCCCCACCTTGTGATTCACAATGAGCTAGATTACCGTCTACCAATTTCAGAAGGCCTAGCGACATTCAATGTACTACAATCAAGAGGCATCGAGAGTCGTTTTCTTAGCTTTCCAGATGAAAATCATGTCAGTAACCAATGTTCTGTTACGCTCGCTGAAAGAGATTAACTTTCTTCTAGTGGGTTTTGAAGCCAGAGAACTCTCTGGTATGGCACAAGGAAGTTCTTGGATGGATTAATAAGTATAGTGGCGTGGCAGAGGAACAAGAAGCTTTTCGAAGGGGGTTCTCTCAGATTGTTGTTTCGCGATAGAACGCATCTTTCGAAAAACACCAAGACCCATATCCTTTAGTCTGTAATCTTAGTAGGCGCTTAGCAGGGCCTTGAAATTACTATTCCAACAGCAATGCCAACTATTCGATCCACTTGAGCGGCGAATTAAGGGGTTCTGTTGACTTTTGTCAATTTCGAGATTTTATTTTGCTATTTGGAGATACCACTAGAGGAAAGCCAGCAAGAAGTTGAAGTTAAAAAATATTAATTCCTAGCTTGACCCATGCAAAAATAATCTGCGTCCAACATTGCTCCTTGATCTTGACTGCTCAAGCATATTTACGCCTATTTCTTTTCCTCTCCACTTATATCGTTCGTCCTCACCGAAAGCTAGTATCCCGTTCTTGCTCGTCATGAGTCCTGATGGAGTAAATACTATCCTTTTCTGCCTCAAGCAGGCCAACATTTTGCAGAGCATCCTTTAAGCTGACCCAATCACAGAGAATCTCGATACGCCCGTCCTTCTTCTGAGTCGATGGATGGACTTGCTGTAGCCATGCCGTCAGCTGCTGGCGCTCCGAGGGGCTTGACATGCCAGCGATAAAGGCATTGACTAACTCAATCTCCATGGCCTCGCTAGGGGAGGGGAAGGCGCCGAGCCGAGCTGTTGCCTGCACCAGATATGAGTTGAGGCCCGCCGCTGCCTGTTGGAGGGGAGGCGGGGGGGATTTGCTAGACGGCGGCTCGGGTTCATAGGTACCGGCGATGCGTTGGAGCTGCGCCTCTGTAGCTGTCCACTGTGCCTGCTGCTCCGTATGACATTGCTCGAGCACCTCTAGCTTGCTCGCATATCGTCGCTCCAGCTCAGCCAATTTGCTTTCGAGACGTGCCATCTTCTCCTCGCTGACTTGAAATCGCCGCTCGTTCTCTTCTAACATCAGTTGTCTCTTCTGCTCACTGCTCTGCAGTTGGCTGAGTATTGCTTTGTTTTCTTTGCGTAATTGAAATTGCCAGAGCCTGTCTGCGGCCACGTCAGAGATGGAAGAAGTCATGTTTTCTGTTATGGATGCCTTGGGGCTTTAAGATCTCATAGGCCCGTATACTATAGCTTAGCAAATACCGCTTCGTAGTTTGGGAATGATAGACCACGCACTATACTGACCTCATATGATTCGAGAGGGTAACATCTAATTACGACACTTTTTTTGAACTGCCTTGGAGGCAGCACGCAAAGGACTCAGCTTTTCCCTGTTGATATCACGTATATTCGAAGCATCTAAGAGCATGATTAAATACCTTCCTTGCCTTCATACAGCTGGCTGTTGTTAAGCCAGCAAAATGGCCGCTGCTTTTATGGCAGAGTGGCTCACGAAAAAACTAAATACAAGCAAGACATTTTAAAACAAGATGCATCGCTAAACAGTCTGCTGTTGGAATAGTCGCATTGCGTTAGAATCCGCCTGTTGCTCATCCTGTCCTGCTGACTCATGCCATGAGCTACGGCTCCCATGCCGTCATTTCCCCTGTAACCCCCACGGACCGAGTCGAATCAGACGCGCTCACACTCACTTCCCTGTAAGAGGGGTTCCTTAGAGAAGTGGATATTCCGAGACAACCAATCTAGAACTGTGAAATTCCAAACAGCCATGTATGAAGACACTTTTAAATGAGGTCCGCAACATTCATCGGCATCTCTTCAATCTGGGTGCTGTAGAATTGCTCAATCTCACGCATCATTCGCACATCATCAGCCGTAACAAAGTTAATAGCAACACCCTTTCGTCCAAAACGACCACCACGACCGATTCTGTGGATATAGTTTTCACGATTAGACGGTAAGTCATAGTTAATTACCAAAGAAACTTGTTGAACATCAATACCACGAGCGAGGAGATCAGTGGCGATGAGGACGCGAGAGGATCCTGATCTAAATTCCTTCATAATTAAGTCTCTCTGTTGCTGCTCCATGTCACCGTGCATGGCCGACACGGTAAAGTCACGTTGGGTAAGTTTTTCGGTTAGCCAGTCGACCTTTCGGCGGGTATTGCAGAAAATGACGGCTTGGGTGATGGTTACTGTCTCGTAAAGATCAGAAAGTGTGTCAAGTTTCCAGTCTTCCTTCTCAACGGCGATGTAAAATTGCTTGATACCCTCAAGTGTGAGCTCAGCTTTCTTGACGAGAATCCGGACTGGGTCGCGCATAAATTTGCTAGTTACCTCAAGAACGTCTTGAGGCATGGTAGCAGAGAGGAGTACAACCTGAGTTGACTGGGGTAGCAGTTGGAAAATGTCATAGATTTGATCGGTAAATCCTCGCTGAAGCTTATTAGTGACAGTGCATACGAAATTAAAAAGTTTATGGGGCTCACAGAAAGCATTTCATCTGCTTCATCAAGCACAAACATCTTGATGGCGTCTGTCTTCAAAAAGCGTCGGTTGACCATATCTAGGACACGACCGGGTGTGCCAACAACAACATGTTGCCCTTCTTGGAGAGACTTCATATCATCACGAACGCTTGTGCCTCCGATACAAGCATGGCATTCTACGTTCATAAAATCACCGATAGCAACAACAACTTTTTGAATCTGCTGTGCGAGCTCTCGGGTCGGAGCTAGGATCAAAGCTTGGCACTGTCTAAGATTTGAATCTAGCTTTTGGAGAGCGGAAATTGAAAAGGTGGCTGTTTTTCCGGTACCAGATTGCGCCTGAGCAATGACATCATGTCCTTTGATAATAATTAGATTGCACATCGGCAAAGGAGTCTCTAGCTGGAGAATCTACCTTTAATCACAGGCATAATAGCGCGCTGTTGAATAGCAGAGGGGCGCTCAAAACCATAGGCGTAGACACCTATACAGTATTAGTCTTATTAGAACCTATAATGAAATTTCTAATTTGTGGGTTGAATTTTACCTCGTAGAAGTTCCGATTTCAAGTTCATGGTATCGAAGGAGTCGACGGTCTCGTCGTAATTGGACTCGATCTGGCCTAGGAAAACGTCAGTTGGTTCCCAATATTTTGTTACAGAGAAAGTGATTTTAGAAAATCTGACGGGGGAGTGGGTCGCTCACCTTCCGGAATTTCTTCAAGTCCTTTATCAGCCATGATTGTGGTTAATGTGGATGAGTATGTTGTAGATTCGTGCCTGAGATCTGTGTCAAAAGTGATCGATGTCTTATTGACGAATGCAGAAAAAGATTGCGCAAGCCCTAAGAGATGCGATGATTGGTAAGATTAATATGTAGTTCTCAAAGATCAACCCCCTGGACAAGGATAGGATGATAGGACTTGATGTGTTGAGTCTGCGACGAATTAGTAGAAACCGTGTTTTCAGAAAGAAATTCAGAAGGTTGAGGAAAAAATTTCTGATTTACTCATCCAACAAGAACCCACTCCACCCACCATTCCTCGTAAGCGAAGGCCTGCCCACTACCACCCACTCATAATTACAAAGATAAATGATGGGTATCTACACGAGTGTGGGCTACGGTGGCCTGATTTTACTGGCTGGCTCAATTTCCAAAAGTACAAGCCACATCCCCTTGTAGATTCTCTTGCCGGTGCCATATCTACTATATCGTCACCACTGATCACAAAGTTCACACAAACTGTGCTGCAGATGAGCTACATTATAATTCTTTACGCCTTACAACTTACCATAACTTGACTTCCCACAGCCCTCTACCCTTCCATCGATTCGTTAACAGCCTGAAATTTAGGGCTTAAGTTAGATGGAGCAATTAGACCGACCCATTTCAATTCCACCCCATCCAATGGGTATTAAGCCGCTCGGAAATCATTTCCTTGCACAGGATAATGCAAAGAATTATGCGGGCCTATTCCAAATGCTTCCGGAGGAAGTACTTGCACCTCTACTCGAACACTTGGACTCTTCGTTGCTGCTACTCATTGGGTCAACTTGCAAGTACCTCTATTCTCTTTCTAAAAGTGACGATCTATGGAAGTCATTGTTCATTGAGTCAGTCCCTCCTCACATACGACAGTTATCAAAATCAACGTCTCGCGCTCCCTTTCCCCAGCTACACACCAAAAACAAGACCAGAATCAAGCATTAATACGATGCAGGTCTCAAGGCTCTAGAGCGCAGCTCTCCTGGAAGTGGTTAAACTCGTGGAGGTCAACTTATCTCGGTCTCAACAAAGACGTTGAATCTAATATATTTTGTGACAATGTCTACTCGGACTTTTTGTATCGACCGTATCTATGCGCTCATACGCCATTGGAACCTTACACTTCCGACATACCCAAAGAAAATGCGATAACAAGACACGAGTACATGTCATTAACTGACTTCTCAAATACCTGGAGTAAACGACCGTTTATTCTTACCCATGCAGTTCAAGAGTGGCCTATCTCAAAAACTTGGAGCATCGATTTCTTACTTGAAAACTACCGACATATCAAATTTCGTGCAGAAGCAGTAAACTGGTATCTTGCTGATTACGTAACATACATGAGAAATAATCGTGATGAGAGCCCTTTATACTTGTTTGATAAAAAGTTTGTCGAAAAAATGAAACTTCAGACCGGCAATGGTTACAAGTCCTCGTACTGGACACCAGAATGCTTTGGAGAAGACTTCTTCACAGCTCTCGGGGATAAACGGCCTGACTATCGGTGGCTTATCATTGGTCCAGAGAGGAGTGGTTCTACATTCCATATGGATCCAAATGCGACAAGTGCATGGAATGCGGTTCTACGAGGCTCTAAATATTGGATAATGTTCCCTCCATCGACAAAGTATCCTACCCCACCCGGAGTATATGTATCAAATAACCTGAGCGAGGTTACCAGCCCCGTTAGTATAGCTGAATGGCTCCTAAATTTCCATCCACAAGCTCGAAAGACACCAGGTTGTATCGAGTGTATTTGCAAGGAAGGTGAGATTGTGCATGTACCCAGTGGCTGGTGGCATTTAGTTGTAAATCTGGAACCTACGATAGCAATTACCCAAAACTTTGTACCTGGAAGTCAATTAGCGGAGGCTCTGCATTTCATGAGGGACAAAACGTCACAGGTATCTGGATTTACTAAGGATGTTGAACACCCATATCACCTTTTCATTGACCAGTTACAAGCAAAACACCCAGATCGTCTCAGACAAACGCTGGAAGAATTAGCAACAAGAGACGAGGGCAAAAAGAGAAAATGGAAAACTGCAACTGGGACAGATGATGGAGAACGTGTTGCAAGCTTTAGCTTTGACTTTGGTGACGATAGTGATCTAGAAATTCCGTAAAAAACCAAACTTTAGAAAATCGACCTCCAGTACATGAGTTTCAGATTGTGAAAAGGCCCCCTAGAAACACTGTTACCATGGCCAGTGCCATTAATGTGATCAATGATTATGGTGGGAATGGAAATATTTGCATCTTTGGCCTCAATGCTTAATTTTACGCTCAATGAAACCAGTTAATAAAATGACTATTCGATGTGAACCAACGTTCGGAGGAGCCAAGCTACTTTCTGACTGGACCGAAGCTAATCCTTGCTTTTTTTTGGTCCTTTTCCCCACCATCAACATCTTCAAAACCTTTTTTATTCTTTTTTGTCAACGTCCCTTTTCCCGCACTCGTAGCATTAGTCGACACAGCGTGGACGCTAGCTACCTCAATCTTTTGAAAGTTCGCCATAGTCGGAGTCTCGGTTGTAGCAGTGTTCGCAGCGCTCTGATCAGCCTCTGGTTGCTCCTGAGTCAAGCATCAGAAATTCTCCCGTGCTGCCAATGGTTGCGCAGACAAAGGAGACGGTGACTTACGGTTTGGGGGTTCCAGCTAATACTGCTGCGACTAAATACACGCCAGCGTCGTTCACGCTCTTCTTCGTCGCGGCCACGCCGCCGGCCAGTTACCAGATTTCCCTTGGTGTAGTTATCGAAACCGGTGATAACATTTCCGCTCGGCGTCTCCTCGAGATATTCATGCTCTTTCTTAGCAATAAGAGTTTCTTGAGCGGCGAGGGCAACCTCGAGTTCGCGTCGCCGCTTTAGTAGGTCTCTTAGCTGCGAGCGCGTTTCCTCGTAGATGGCGGACACGATGCTGGGGTTGGAGGTTGTTGTACTGGCGAGAGAGACAGCCTTGTCGGTCATTATGTTTGGGCCCTGATTTGGGCGAAAGGCGGTGTCGTTGGTGAGGACGTTACTAGCATACTCGTGGTTTCCCTGCAGGGATCAGTGTGATTGGCTTCAGCCTTTGAGCGCGGTACGGCCAAGTCTTCGATTACGTGGCCCACTGCCCGAGTCATGAGGAGCCATGGCGATTGAACCGGCCCATCCGCTCGGCCCCACTGTTACACTAGATGGAGGCCCCAGGAAGGAGCAGGTGGGGGGGCTGAGTAATCAGCAGCCATGAGAAGGGTTTGGTCTCCTACTTTCAGATTGGCAAGAACTCATCAGATACATGTGGGCAGTTTCAAACAATGCTACACAGCAAGTGCATTTTGGGCTGAAAGTCAAATTCCCTAAGGGAATGCGGAGCACGCACTCTCGTGCACGCCACCCCCCCCCACACAGACGTGAAATAAAATCAATATCATGCCTACTGGTACATCTAGCTCAGGTATGTTAGATTCAGGTTTATCGCCTCGACTCACATATCCAAGCCAAAAGAGTCAATCCTAGCCACAGTCCAGATCGACCGAAAGTAGAGTATTCGTCCGCACACCGCATGAAATGCTTCAGACAAGTTGTAGCGATAGGAAGAGAACGATTGCGGCGCTGCACTATAGACGTTGGATGCAGTGCAACTCTTGCCGCCTTGGGATCCAGATTGACCCCACCACGAGCAGGCCCTGCCATCGAGCATTACCTCTGCACGACGCTCAAGGAAAGCAAATTCCAGGCGCATGGATCCTTTTTTTTACAGACGTAGAATGCTGACTTTATCCTCTCGGTCCGACTTTGCTGGCCAGGATCACTTTCTCCAGGTCAAGTTACCAGTCCCCAATGTGTCTAAGGCAATATCAGAAAATCATGCTTTACCACGACTATGTGAATCTACGCCACGAGGTGAAAGAAGAGAAATTTAATGGGACAGTGGAGTTGGTTGGATGGTCGTATCGTAGAATTGTACTTTTTAGGCGCAAGGATCTGCTATAACCACTTTGAGTACTCTTGGGTGGTAGCAAAGCGCCTGACAGCCCTTTGAGTTTCTTCTACGGTGGCTATATACACCGTTGGGGGACTATTCTCAACACCTGTCAGTGGTGTTCCCTTCAAACATCCAGCTCTCACTGTAGAGTCTGCAGAGACGAGATTGAGTAACAAAGTCCTCACTTCGACGAGGATTCCCAATCGCTTTCGCGGTCTGTATCGTCTTCAACTCTTGTCACATTCCCCTATCACCATTACCATGAAGCTAACCACGATCAGATCAGATGGTAGGGTCGGAGCCCTACTCATTACCAACCCTTGATCATGTAGGAGATGCTATCCGATGAGTTTCCGGAGCGTACTAAGCATCCAATACGGAGATGGTGGATTGGATCAAGTCGACCTCGACTGTTACAAAGAAGGGGGATATAGATGAATATGCGCACCTCATGTGGTTCCAGTGACTAGGCCTTGCCTCGCTGGAGCTGCAGATTTTTTGAGACTTTTTCCTGCGCACGCAGTTTCCATTGCTAACGTCTTTATTTTTTTGGGTAGAAGGTTCCGTGGAAAAGGTAGCTGAACTCCACGGGCAAACACTGAGCTGAATGGTTATTTATCACGGGCAATATATCAATGATCTTACAAGTAACAAAAAAGGCAAGGAGCACTGTACAAGTTGTGGTCTGGGTCAGAGAGGTGCCCAATATCCTCGATAGTCATAGACTCAAGTAGTACAATAAAAAAACACACACACACATACACCGTTATCATGGGAGGACGAAGGCTGAACACCTGTCAGTGGTGCCCTCTACGAACCTGGGAGGGAAATATTCTGCCAGAGCCGAGATTCAGTCACGAAAAAGGGTGGGATGAATTTTATTTGATGGATTGTCGACTTGAAGGAGTTACACTCGATATTTTGGTCGAAAAATCAGTCGGCAGAGATTTCACAGCCGGAACAAAGTTGAACAAAAACTCATCACCACCAACACACGATTCACGAATGGGCCTAGGTCTGTCTGGGAGTCGTATTCAAACACCTGACATCTCTTAAACTCCTTGTATATTTGCGACGATCCATATCTCAGCCGACTTCACACCCGCGACCCACCTCTATACTCGTCACTTCACCTAACTACAAACGCCCTAATGAGGAAAGTCATGATGGAAACAGGAAGTGTGTAGAGGAGGAAGAAAAGGGAAGACATATTAAGGGAATTGCACAAATCCCCAATGACGACAACAGCCCGAAGTTACGATATGAAGGTGCAAGGCTAGAGCAACGATAAAATCTTGGACGGCATTTATATTTCGGAGTCAACGAGGATGTCAAGGTCGTTGAATCATCTTATCTGTACTTTTCTTTGATATTGTGTCATAGCTAGATAGCTGCATCCGCAATTAAAATCTGATGCAAAAAAAAAGAGGATGTCAAAGGCTCGGGCGCGTGGTGGCCGAGGCTGAGGAGGAATATGCGCTTGGGCGCGTCAAAAGAGGGTTCTCCGTGCGATTGGGCTTGACATGATTCAACACATGGGTGAAGTCTGTGGTGGTCCGGTCATTTAGGTGAGACGAGGCACTTGCACTTTACGGTAGTTAATCTGATCCGGCCGGGCCCCACCCATGCTTAAGCTCCAGTAGGAGTGCAACGGGAATCACTATACCTAGCACGTTAATGAACAAAAACAAAAAAAACACCGTTATCATGAGATTCTTGTGGGGAATAATAGCCTATCAGCTTTGGGTCCTAAGACGAGGTCAAAACCTGTCAGAAATACGTCAAAGATTAAGCACCGAGATTGCGCTTTTAAGCAAGCGAGTGATTCCCCATGTAAATTGTCCTTATCTCTCTACTAAGCATGATTCGCCTGTTAACAAAGACAAGTAACATTGCGCCGTCCTCTGTCAAAATAAAAGGAACAGCAAGAAATCAAACATTGGAATTAAAATAATTAAAAATTGGACGCATGGCGAAGTGGTCTATTCAAACAGAGGCAGGTTGACGAAGGTAAAGCGATAAATCCCAGTGACTCGAACTTATCTAGATGGCCGGCATCACGCCGAAAATCATCTACGTATTGAATCATGATGAGTCTAGCAGCCCAGAATCGAAACAAAAAACCTTTGGCGCAAGATCTCGCATTACGAAAGGAAAAATTAATACATATCCTTACCAGCAATCTGCTTCAATTACATACGCCTGAATCTGACCTGACATACATTTCAATTATCAATTGCCATAACTGACAACTTTTATTTACCAAGAATCCAGAGCTTTATTCCGTAGACATAAATTGATTTGTTTGTAAATTAATATGCTAGGCAACTGGCACCCGCCGCAGTCCTGTAGGAGCTTGAGAAGAAGCGGGTTCGGGCTGAATCGGTTCAACTACTATTCAGTACATAAACCTCGACCCACCTGCATGGCCAGATCACCTCGGACTTTACCCATATATGAGACATGTCAAGGCCATACGTCTAGAGAACCAGATTTTAGCACGCCGAGGCGCAATTTCCTCCACATCCTAAGCCGCTACTCCCGAGCCCTTGACACTCTCCCAATCTCTAACTTGTCTCTTCCGTTTAATCCCAGTCATGCCTCCTCCAAGTGTCTCCTCATCTTATCCAGGGTTCGTCCTCGTCATGAGAGACTACATCCAATCGCCGACCGAGGCATTATTTTCCTCTCTTTATTCCATCCATTCTAGATTCTCCTTTATTTTTTAATAGTCATCACAATCTCGGAAATTATGTAGAATCTCCATCCCTCTGACCTTGCCCCGTCGCTGCCGTACCCCTAACCATGGAGGCCGAATATGGGCCGAAGAGCCAAAGACCATGGCACCGATACATCAGCTCTTATCGAATACTGTAGTTAATATGCTGGCGAAATATCATACGTATATCGTCAGTGGCTATTCATCGCAGGTTGAGTTGTTGGTATCCTCGGCAGAGATTGGACAAATATAAGAACGGTACCTCGTCCGTACCTTCACAGCGTGCGACAATGGCGAGAAGAATATCCACTTATATAGTTCATAGGGGATATGACTTTTGGATTTTGGAGTGCTTCGGTAATTCGCGAGATTAGTTTGGATGGAAAGTACCTTCCAGTTACTCTACAAATAGGGGGGGATGTCAGCTGTTTAAAAACGCAATTCAGATAAAGTTTATCCAGTATGTGGTTCGTAGTTGGGGGTGTAAGATTCTGTTTTCCGTTTCTTTTTTTTTGCATCAGATTTTAATTACGTATGCAACTATCTAGCTATGGCACATTATCAGAAAAGTGCACAATATATGACTCGATTTCAAATTAGAGCACTCATGCTTTGGATTTCGGTTGCTTGTCTTTAAACTGTCAGCTGCACTCTCGCAAGCGAAGTCTTGGCACGCACAAAGCCCAATTCGTAAAACTCCTTGCCGAAATTCGAGATTTCACGCTCTTCAAAGTTAATTCCTTCCTTCGCATTATCTTCTCGACTTGTCCTGATCCCTCTCATGTCCATCCCAAAGAACAGTCTCCCAGATTTGTGCGCCGCACTTTGCTTCTTCCGTTGGGTGTAAATATCGACGTCGGCGTGTATTTGTCGACCAGCTGAGGCCAGTGAGTACCTGAATTTACTGGGTTATGGAGTTGTGAAATCTCCGCAGATCGGATTTCCGACCAATAGCTTGCCAACACCATTCCTCTTGACCAATATTTCGATCATAGCTGTCAAATACACTCTTTGTCATGACTTTATCTCGGCTCTGAGAGAGTATATTACTCCAAGATTCGAACAGGACATCATTCACAGATGTTCAGTCTTGGGACCCCACTGGCGTGAGTGTGTGGCTTACTGTGCTAAATGAGTTATAGACTTTCTAGCACATTGAGCTCCTCTCCTATCCAGGCCACTACTTTTACAGTGCTTTTATCCTCTTTTGTTATTCGAAGGATCATCGATGTATTGCCCATGATGAATAGCCATTCAGCTCAGTGTTTACCTATCGAATTC